ACCAAAATTAATAAAAAAAAGTGTTTTCCCGAGAAATTTTGGTGCAGTCGATTTATGGTAAAAAAGGAAGGTTATACACTGCCTTTTTTTGAGCCCCGAAAAAAAAATTGTCTCAGATCGACCCGGAAAAAAAATTTTCTTATAGAATGTGGCCTGTAGAATCCAGAATTTCAAACAGTTCCAAGATTGGGCTACTAGTTCAAAAGTTACAGCCCTTTGAATTTTCTTTCGAAATTGGTTTCTAGTATAACTTTTGATTGAGAAATCTGATCGAAAAAGTACGAATTGTTTTGGATTCTACGCACCAAAATTAATAAGAAAAAGTGTTTTCCCGAGAAATTTTGGTGCAGTCGATTTTTGGTAAAAAAGGAAGGTTATACACTGTCTTTTTTTGAGGCCCGAAAAAAAAATTGTCTCAGATCGACCCGGAAAAAAATTTTTTGAGGTAACCCTCTTAAGCTTTAACATATTGCTTTGGTGAAACCGCAACAGAGGTGCATTCTTATAACACCCGGAAGAAGTTTTGTGGTAATTCGTTGTAACGTTGTCGTAGTTTATGTTTGTTAGTTTTTTTTATGTTTGTTCTACCGAATGACTCGAAATACACACATTTTTGGGAGAAAGGGGAGAACTTTGTAATTTCAAATGGGAACCGCATTTTTTATTCCATAGCTAGATTCTACCCAAAAAAGTGTGAAGATTTTATTCGAAACATTTTTTTGCGTGGTAACAGGTGGTGTTGTAATTTAAAAAAACTAATTTTAATTTTGTGTCGTTTATGTTTATAAGCGCTGAGTGAAAAATTAAGTTATTCAATGCTAGTATTGTTAGTAGTCCTGATTAAAGACAGTCAACAAAATTAATTTCTAATTAAAGGAAAATTCATCACCCAATATCACCGTCCGTTATACAAAAGTAGGTTGTTAGAAAACTAATTTTAATTTTGTGTTGTTTATGTTTATAAGTGTTGAGTGAAAAATTAAGTTATTCAATGCTAGTATTCTAATTAATATTTCTAATTAAAGGAAAATTCATCACCAATATCACCGTCCGTTACAAAAGTAGGTAGTTAGAAAACGCGGACGGTTAGACTTATGGACGGACGGAAAAAGTTTCCACAACTACTTTTCCATTTGTAGAAACGTGTAAATAATTAGTTTCCGTATTCTGATATTGATAGAGGAATGTAAGTTATGCATAATAATCAGATTATTGACTGCATCATCATAAGTAACATTTGACCCAAAAAGATACGTCACTATCTCCAATATTTTCAGGTTTATTTGGGAAACACCGAGTTTCGTACACATACGCAAACAAAAACTATAAGCACTTATGAAATATACCTACGTACCTACTGGAAAGTTTTGTGAACTACTACAGGTTGACGCGAATATATGTTGGGTAAATTAATTTGCCAGAAAATTAGATGAGTACCTACCTATCCAAAATTGAAAACCACCACAAATTACCTTTGATGTGAAAGAGTTATAATATATAAGTTTAGCGCCCATGCTAGTTAAAATATATTAAAGGTACCTCTGTACTAAAATATATAAATTTACTCTTCATGCTACTATAAATACTCAACA